ATATAGTTTATTACTGCTTTCATGCTATATCAGCAAAGGCTATATATATACAATATAATATATACAATAAAATAATATGAAAGTAAAATAAAAAATATACTTCTTATAACATTAGAAAATCAACTATATAAAATCTTTTGATTTAATATTTTTAGTTTGTTATTATTTTAATGCCATATCAGCAAAAGCTATATTCGTGAAATAACAAAAAAAAAAAGTAATATTTGATTACATTTTTTAATTTTGAAACCTTTATAAAAAAACATCAATAAATGACATTTCTGAATATAATCGTTGTCTAATGGTAGGGTTGTCTAATATGTAATATCTAATAGCAAGACAGTTCAGTAAAATACGCTTAATAGTAAAACTTTCAAAACAGCAATTATGAATCAATTATATTTACTACAATTATAATGCCCAATATATTATGTTCATTTCTTATTTAAAACAGATTTCTTGACCTGTTGAATCATAGCAATATAAGATTTTGGGGTTCTTTTAGCAGCAATAATTACTTATAAATCACACTGAAATTCAGATCTTGCTAGAGTGTAACAAGAAGAAAACTCCAAGCAAAACCTACTCAACTCCTTTACTGTTTGTCATTCACTTGTCACTGAACAATGGCAAAACGATGAATACTGTAGAATGACACCTGTATTGTCACACAGGCTGCGTTTCTATTTCTATAACACACACACATATGCTGCCTATGTAGAGTGTTCCAAATCACTCGCTTATGAGGTTACATTGGAGTTAGGAGTGAAGTGACATGTGACATGTGGCCAAGTATGGTGACCCATACTCTGAATTAGTGCTCTGGATTTATCCCATCCAAAGTGCACACACACACACCGTGAACACACACCCGGAGCAGTGGGCAGCCATTTTTTGCTGCGGCGCCCGGGGAGCAGTTGGGGGTTCGGTGCCTTGCTCAAGGGCACCTCAGTCGTGGTATTGAAGGTGGGAGAGAGCGCTGTACATTCACTCCCCCCACCTACAATCCCTGCCAACCTTTGGGTTACGAGTCCGACTCTAACCATTAGGCCACGACTTCCCCATAATGGGGAAATAGAGGAGGATGCTGCTTTAAAAGGCAGGTGCCTTTATATACACGTAGTTTGAAGTGGGCGGGGCTTGTAAGGGGGCGGAGCATGACTCAAGCTTGACCTTTCCCCCACTCATCACTCGCTCGAGCCCTTCAGAAAAAGGAGTGTATCTCCAGAACAGAGGGCATTCAACACGCTCTGGCACAGTCTCGCTATTCACAGTCATGAAATTTCATTAGGGCAGAGCAGGACAAACGGATCAGGATCACACACACATAACGGTGGAGACAAGGACAGAACTAACTGAGATTCGGGTCATGGAGATAAATAACATAAATAAGCGATATGGCAAGGTTTTAGAAATTAAGGGCATCTCCAATTGTCTGCTGATTCAAGGCTAGAAAGGATGGATCTGTTCCAAACCTAGTGCAGTCTACATAGACATAACAGACTACATAACTGAAATGGAAGCTGATAAGAGACTGTTTTGTTTTTCCAACTTCATCTTAATTTACAAGCATTTCGCCATTTTATTTGATAAAAACCATTGTCAAATACACAAAAACTCCACGAAACAAAAACAAGTTTGTTTTAACTTGAAATTATCACAGAAATATATTACTGTTTATTATTCTCAAACTATTAATACCATCACTACTACTACTACTAATACCATGTATTAAAATATTGTTTTTGATGGAATATCACACAAACAAATTCATCCATGTTTTAATTCATACAGTAAACCTCTGGGTGTGCAGTAGATTATTTGACAAAAAATGCAATTATGTTGTAAATAAATTGTTATATTTTCACGACTGCTTTTAAAAAATACTTATATATATATATATATATGATTACCACAGTTTTTGACAAATTTGCAGTAAACCATACAAACTCGGAATCCATCAAATTAAAACCAACAACACAGAGTTTGAAAGAAAATAAATAAAAAAAAAACAGATTTTATAGGGTCCTATTATTGTTCAAGTGTCAAATAATTAATTTTCTGATTAAATTTTAATTAAAACACTTAGGCCAGACACCTCAGGTGAACATGGTAAGTTTAACTAATAGATCTCACCTATATATATATATATGTTCTCTGAGGTTTACTTATAATGTTATATTATAGTGTGATTTTACATCAAAAAACATCATAACTTAGAAATAATAGGCTATTTTCTGTCCTATTTTTGAGCCTTTCTGCAGAACGGTCTGTTTTTATATACGGGGCGCATTCAAGACTCGCAAGTAAACGCCCACTGCTGTGATTGGCTAACAGTTTCACTTATTAAAATAACAGATGGCTGCGGTGATGTACTCTGAAAACATCATGGGTCATTGAGTTAAAAACGTATAAATACTCCGTATATATCAAACGGTCTGGAACAGACAATGCAATAGTGGAAAAAGCAGGTTTACTCACGCTTATGTGCTGCGTGCGACATTACTGTCGGATCCGCTCTAGTCAGACTCAGCGCTGCATCAATGTTTACTTTTACTGTCTATAAAGGCACCTGCCTTTTTACTTTTACTTTTTTACAACGTGACTATAGACAACAGAACCCATTATAATATTCTGTCTACACTGGATGCGGCACAGATTGACAACAAATCCCTGACAGTAAACTGATGTCTCACTCCATTTCTGACATACAAGCATTCGCACTGCTTCTGACCTGAAAGAGAAATTGATTCGCGACATGATGATAAATATACAAGCCCCTCAGTAAAAATCTTCAGAATATAGATAGGAATAAAATTGTCAATTTTGGTGCCTGTAAGTGCTGCTGAAGTGGAGAAAAAACTCTTTAACAATATGTATTATAACTGAAATCTAAAGGCATAAATAGGTAATGTGTAATAAAATAAAAAAAAACATTAAACTGTGTATTTTGGATATTTGCATTCCACCTATATGAAAGAAAATAAGTCATGGAAGCAAAATCTCAGAATTAACCAGTGCAAGAAAAAAACAGTTATTTCACCTTAAAATGCAATCCAGAAAAATGTAAACAGAAAACAGAATTTGAGACTCACTTCATATGACCTTATTTGCCATATCACATTAGAAGCGCAACAATGCCGTCTTAAATGGCCACCTTAGAAGGCAGCTCACTAGGATTATAAAAGACCAGGGGCCTCATTTATCAACAGTGCGTACGCACAGATGTGTGCGTAATGAGTTCGTAAGAACAGTTTCACGCAAAGTGTGGGATCTACCAACTTGTACTTATACGTAGAAATGTGTGTAAATATAAGCACACCTCTGAGCATGCTTACGCAGAGAATCTAGTGGTAGAATAGCGACACTACACATAAAAAGCATTTAAGAGCGTCACAGTATGCATTAAGCAATCCAAATATGTCCTGTGTTTCCTTAAAGGGGTCATATGATGCGATTTCAAGTTTTCCTTTCTCTTTGGAGTGTTACAAGCTGTGTTCCCCTTTCAGGCTCTGTCTTTACATTTATTTTGAAAGATGAAGCTCGCGATTATGGTAAGGGGCGTTACATTTCCGACGAGTGCTTGCGGTGTTCGGCCAATCACAATGCACTGGGTCAGCTGGCCAATCAGAGCAGACTGCGCTTGTCAAAGGAGGGGCTTTGTAGAAAACGAAGCGTTTGAGAGAGGCGGGGTATAGAGGACCTACAATAATGTCCAGTATTTGAAAAATAATGTGTTTTTTGAACATTAAAGCATGTCAACATATTCTGTTACACCAAATACACAAAATAATGATCTTTAAAAAAGCATCATATGACCCCTTTAATTATAAAACACTCAATTCACTTTAATTATAAAACACATACATTCACGTGATTTATAAAGGGAGGTGTTGTCACCATATATGGTTCATTGGAGGCGTTTCCGAATGCAATTGACCATGAACGTGAACGAGCATGTTACTAACACTCATGTGGGATTTATCAACAATGATTGCTTACTCAATGTGCGTAAGAACTGCATGTGCACGTTTGATAAATACGAATTTTCTTGTACTTAGGCACATTCTAAATTTCATTCGTAGGATAAAATATAGAACCTTTTCTACGCACTGTTAATAAATGAGGGCCCAGGGGCCTCATTTATAACCATTGCGTATGCACAAAATCTGCCTTGAAAGAGGCATACGACACTATACACAAAAGGTGTAATTTATAAAAAACTAACTTGACGGGAAAATTTGCACACCTGCACGCAAACTCTGACCCATGCGTACTGACTTTTTTTTCCTGGAGAGAGAAAAGTAATGAAGTAAACAACTATTTTAAACTGTTTTCATTTCATCATATACATTTACATTAAATATTCCACTCTCATTAATGGAGATAAGCACTGAAATTACATAAAGTCATTACGCAGAAGTTAAACCAAAATTATATGAATTTAGACATA